ATTGACATAAAAAAATCGTATTATTCATCTCCGCCTTAATGTAAAATTTCCATTGTCCATTCACAATTTCACAAAATTTCCGAGAGCAACTATTAAAAAGTAATTTTGTAATAGTCCACATTATCGTAATTATTTTTTTATGTCAATTTAATAAAATGAGAAAAAAAATAAGCTACTATTTATGTAAAAATTTTCCAATACCTACTAATCATTTTTAAAATCGTAACAATAAAATCCATAAAAAAAAACAAACGAATTTCCTTTTTTAATTTTCATGTTAAAAATCGGTTGAATTTAACAATAACAATTAATGATGCAAACGAAGTTTATACTTATAACAATTTTTAATGTTTAGGCCTGACTCGTATGCAACCCAAAATACGCCAAATTGTAAGGCGTATATATGTCCATTCCTATAAAACGCATTAATTTTTACCTTAATATTTCTCTCAAATTAATTCTTTTGATGGGCTTCTACAAATTAAATAAAGTTTATATTTATTATATTTTTAGGAGTTGTTCAGTTATAACTAAAACAAGAAAATGCTTTCGGCTTTTATGACTAACATACGCAATTGTGTTTATTTATGATCCTTTTCAGACTGTACGTCGCCTACACTTGTTAAACTCTTTAATTTTTATTAGTACCTACGTACTCATTAACATAACCAATTGGTTTTTTTAATATTCCGAAAGCTATTGCTTGGCCGTTCTGTTATTGCGAAAATGTCATTTTTATATTATATTCTATTTCATAATTTAATCCCATTACAAAATTCACGCCTCCGCCTCTGCTTATGCGTCTATAAAAATTAAATCGATATTTGCCGGCGTAGAATTCTATCTCTGTGGCTGTAGCAATAAGCTCATATTCTTTTAATTATTTAAAGCAAAATGCCTCAACAAAATTAAAACGCCTTCTACAATTCTTTTCTTTATGCATTGCATTACGTAATAGTAAAATATTGAAATATTATATGCAGCCAAATTTAAATGTTTATTCATTTTTAGTTACCTCTCACCGTCATTTATTTCTACGCAGTTTGTATATATACTCGTATAAAACTTCAGTAGTCGTACTCGCTTCGGCGGTACATATACTAAAATTGGAACGATACAGAGAAGATTAGCATGGCCCCTGCGCAAGGATGACACGCAAAATCGTGAAGCGTTCCACATTTTTTTTCGTTCTTCGTATTTATTAGTTTTTTAGATCGTTGCTGGCATTCAAATATAATAAAATTTATTAAAAATTAATTACCGCAATATTTCTTTATGAAATAATATCGTGTAATATGATAGCAAACATTTTCCTTCATACGATTAAATTAATTCATTAAAATCGTTTTTAAATCAAATTCAGTTTTTCTTCGAAACTGTATATAAGTGCTACCTTTAATTTCATTAATTAAATAAATTAAGCTGAATTACTGTCAACTACCCAGTTACAATTATTATCCTATTTTTTTTAAATTTTT